TGACAAAGATGTTATGCTATCACTTTATGTAAATATCCAAACTAAGGAATTTAACGTTAGATGTCTCTGTATCTCAAAATAGTTTATTATTTTGACAAAGATGTTATATAATCACTTTATGTAAATATACAAACTAAGGAATTTAATGCTCGATGTCCCTGTATCTCAATATATTTTATTATCTTGACAAATATGTTATGCAATCACTTTATGTAAAAATCCAAACAAAGGAATTTAATGCTAGATGTCTCTGTATCTTAAAATATTTTTTCTTATTTTGACAAAGATGTTATGCAATCACTTTATGTAAATATACAAACTAAGGAATTTAATGCTATATGTCCCTGTATCTCAATATATTTTATTATCTTGACAAAGATGTTATGCAATCACTTTATGTAAAAATCCAAACAAAGGAATTTAATGCTAGATGTCTCTGTATCTTAAAACATTTTTTATTATTTTGACAAAGATGTTATGCTATCACTTTATGTAAATATACAAACTAAGAAATTTAATTCTAGATGTTTCAAGCCCAGCATGCAGTTCCTGTTCGCAGGAACCTACACAGAGCACCAAGGAACACATCAAGAAACCTCGCCTCCGCCTTGGTTTCTGGGGGGAGTCCTGTTGCAGACAACTTGTCCTACTTTCCGCCTTAATGTCTGCAAGTACTTTCCTTGAACATTCCAGCTGTTTAACTCATGTGATATTTAAAGTCGCCATTTTTATGAGCAAAGCTCTCTTTGTAGATTTATACGAAAAATATAGTTTGTTGCTTTTTAAACTTTGTCTTTTATTTAGCTGACGCTAAAGGGGCACGATTTTTGATATACAAAATAAGGGGGGTGGGCATGGGAAAATTAATTTAATTCTCTGATATTTGGGTGGATTACCCTATTAATTAAAAAGACCTGTTATGACTTATGAGGGGTCTAATTTAAAAATAACTTTGGGGAAACAGTTCATTATCTGCACACGACAGCAGATGATCTTATTTTATATGTGAATGCCGCAAATTATTCCGAGTTCATAGATCTTCATTTTGTTTTTGTTAGTTAGGTCGTTATGCATGAACCATGAGATTCCGATTTTGCTCGGACATGAAAATGATGAGAATGTGGCTCGGCCGAACATTTGTTGTGGCTGGCCTTCCTCCCTTTTTGATTACTAACACTGACCATATTATCAATCTCTGTCTTTCCGTATGAGAATATGAAATTATCAAATTGCTAACTCTCAGCAACATTTCTATTTTAAAACAAGAAGACGACATTTTTCATTTTTTTTTGAAAATAACAAAAATATTTTTAAAAATAATCTTTCACCAATGTTTAATATTTTACAATTATTAAATGTTTTCTAATTCAAAAAATTGACATTGATAACCATAAAAGTGTGGAATAGGAAGACGACTTTAGACTCAATTTATGATTTATAATTGACGGAAATTTTTAAATATTTATATTGGAAAATTGGATTTTTACGAAGACGACATTTACGTAAAGATTCAATGTGGTGGCCTAAACTCACAAAGAAAGGAAATATCATGAATATCTATAACATCTTTTTAAAAATATGTCGTATTCTGTTCCATATTTCTTATTTAAAATTAAAGAAATCTACAGCCAACAGCTTTGATTTTGAATCAAAAAGGAAGACGACGTAAGAAAAACTAGAAAAATGTTGAGTCACGGAAGTTCGTAGTAAGATTTTGACTCCACTGGAGACCACCAAAGGGAATTCTTTTTCACTGGAGGGGTTTCAAAAAATGATTTTAATAATTCAAAACTTTACGCAGGGTGATTTACATTCCACTGGAGGGATTCAGATGTCCTTCCTGTGGGGTTATAATTCCACTGGAGAGATTCAGTTATCCTTCCAAGGGGTTAATAATTCCACTGGAGGGATTCAGTTATCCTTCCAAGGGGTTAATAATTCCACTGGAGGGATTCAGTTATCCTTCCTAGGGGTTAATAATTCCACTGGAGGGGTTCAGATGAATATCTATAACATCTTTTTAAAAATATGTCGTCTTCTGTTCCATATTTCTTATTTAAAATTAAAGAAATCTACAGCCAACAGCTTTGATTTTTAATAAAAAAGGAAGACGACGTAAGGAAAACTAGAAAAATGTTAGATATATATATTCTTGCCATTTATAGTAGGATGAAAATCATCCTTTAAAATGTTAACCCTATCCCTGCTGGGGTACTTAAAAACCAGGATACGTTGGGGGGGAGGGGGCAATTCTAAATCTCATGTTTAACGTCCAAATATGACAAATGATACAAGATTGGAAAGCTAATGTGGTCTACTTTTAGAATCTGCAAAAAAAAAATTGAAAATTTACTAAAATTAAATTTTTTTTTCTACAAAATCCAGTTATAAAGTAAAAATATTTGCCAAAAAAATGTCCAAAATATACATTTTTGAAAAGTTTTGACCATGCTATTTCAAAGATGCAAAAATGTTTGCAAAATTTTAAATATTCTGATGTTTAGTTGAAAAACTAAAAATGTGCAAATTTTTAAAAATGTCTTTGCAAAACTTGTGTATTCCGTTTCCTTATGTCATAGGCTTTCCAAAAAACTAAAAATTATTAAAATTTGACAACTAAAAGTGGGTCAAAACAAAGATTAAGTTTGTTAAAGGAAAAAGTAGTCATTCAGGCAGAGTGCCTGAGGACTCAGGCAGTTAGTATAAACGCCCAGTTTTAGTCCTAAGGGGAGGGCTATGGGTATTTAGGAAAACTCAGAACATTTCAACAGCCTCAGACCAATACTTTTTCAGTTATGTAATATCAGGTATTACCGTATTGGGTTAAATTAAAAAGTGCCACTCTAGAACATTACAAACTTTCTTTCTCAAGCGGACAGCCGTTATCCAAACTTCGGATAGCAGTAAAGGGAGCATGATATGCTTGAGAAGCCTTTATTAAATAACAAAGCTGAAAATTCTTAAAATTCTTTTCTCAATAGAAAATAGGGTTCTCAAAAGAAATGTAATTTTTTTTTGCATTACCTTAATATTATGTTAACGATAATGCTCGTACTTTATTCATAAATCAAGGACTCAGAATTAAGGATACCGAAAAAAATTTCTAGGAAACTGAATACAGTATAGAACTTCTTTATTCTTAATCGTAATTTTTTAAATGACAGTTTTAATAGTACAATATATCACAAATTAATAAACAATTTATTTTAGTCCTTTTTGTTAAATATTTATTAAAGATAATAGTTAACAAGCCATACACACTATTTAAACCTTGCCCAAAATTAAGCTGCGTTCTGCAGTCCACTGCAGTCCACTGATCAATGTACGTCCAATATCTCTTTACTAGATTAAGCATATAATGGTTTACTGCTAGTCGTATCATGGAACCCTCCATCAACAAATAGGATCTGTCCTGAAATATTAAAATATTTAATAATCAAAAAATCTTAAAATCTAAAATGACAAAGCTTATATTGATTGATTTGTTGGTAAAAGATATATTTATTAGCCATGTGAAGATGTTGTGGATTACAATCAAATATACTATGGCAAAAATTACAGTTATTTAAAAGTTAGTGATGTTGGATTGGAAAGAGTACAATTATGAAATCATTGAATTATATCTTTAAAGGGTATATGATGGATTTTACAATTACAGTTAATTTATTACCGTTTAATTTTATAAATATAATTTAGAAATCCTATCTTGAAAATATCCTATTATATTGGTTATGCAAATTTTTCAAGTATAATTTAGAAATGCTATCTTGAAAATATCATATTATATATTGGTTATGCAAATTTTTCAAGTATAATTTAGAAATCCTATCTTGAAAATATAATATTATATATTGGTTATGCTATTTTTTCAAGTATAATGTAGAAATCCTATCTTGAAAATATCATATTATATATTGGTTATGCTATTTTTTCAAGTATAATTTAGAAATCCTATATTGAAAGTCGAAAATATCCTATTATATATTGGCTATGTGTTGCTTTCATGTAACAAAAATTAAACACCTATGGTAGCATACAGTGATAACCAGAAAATCATAAATAAAAAGACGACTTTTAGAGTGAAGTTATTACTTATAAAACGTCCAATGAGTGTGAGACACAGCAACTGTGGAGTGTACAGAATACGGATTTTACTAAATTTATTGATTTAATAAGTGTTTAGTAAAACTATTTAACTTGTAACAACATCAGATACACTTCAGTATCCAGGCAAGAATGTTTACCAATAACAGGAATAGTGTACCAATTCTGTTTGTTTATTTGTTTTTATGGACGATCGTAACTCAGAAACCTCTTGAACGATTTGTCTCAAATTTTGATTCTGGAACTAGGCAGAACCAAGGGAATGTTCTTAGCTTGATTTTGAGATTCTAAATTGAGTTGTTACACTTTTAAAGGGAAAAATAGAAAAATCGTAATTTTCTAGCAAGCGTGGGTAAATAGCGTGTGAAACCATGAATTCCCAGAGTAACTATGATGAGTCCCCGGAGTAACTATGAGTTCCCAGAGGAACTATGAGTTCCCGGAGTAACTATGAGTTCCCAGAGTAACTATGAGTTCCCAGAGTAACTATGAGTTCCCAGAGTAACTATGAGTTCCAAGAGTAACTATGAGTTCCCAGAGTAACTATGAGTTCCCAGAGTAACTATGAGTTCCTGGAGTAACTATGAGTTCCCAGAGTAACTATGAGTTCCCAGAGTAACTATGAGTTCCCAGAGGAACTATGAGTTCCCAGAGTAACTATGAGTTCCCAGAGTAACTATGAGTTCCCAGAGTAACTATGAGTTCCCAGGGCAAAGCTGGGTTCCCAGGCTAATTTAGTACAAAATGTGTTTTATAAATATACCTGTTGTAAATGAGGATAAACTGGAAGCCAGGAATATTATTGCGTTAGCAACCTTAAAAGAATAAAAAAATTATAAAAATATAACCAGAGTTGAAAACTTTAAAATTGTGGATATTGAGATTTATGCTTTTTATTAATCTCAAGATTAATTTAATTTTTGTTTGTATCCAGAAAAGTGTATGAAATTCAACCAATCAGAATCGCGTATGCAGAATCCTGAACAGCCAACCAGAAGTCGGATAATTTGAAATTTTGCGCGCTAATTAATTGGTCGGAATTTAGTTTGGATATCCAAAAAGAAGGAAAAAGAGCAGAATTCAAAAGTGTCCAAAAGTTTTTAGCTCAGAATGATTACGTTTTTCCTCAGGTCAAAACTTTTGAAAGAGATAGTTCTAATCTATAGAATGTGATTAACTTGATCCGTCTGACTTCAAAAGAAATGGATACGTGCAATAAATACTATATATATTCTGACCACAAGGGAGATCAGGCCAGAAACCATTAGTTTAAAGAAAATATTTGCAACATCACATATTTTAGGCAAATCAGATTAAGTACTAAATCAGATTAAGAACTAAATCAGATTAAGAACTAAATCAGATTAAGAACTAAATCAGATTAAGAACTAAATCACCTCTTCAATAGTTCCAAGACGTCCTAGTGGATGTATGTCACAGGACCTCTTAATAAACGCTTCCCGCTCTATTTCATTCATTCCTTTAAAGAAGAAGATAAACATAGTCTTAGCTTAAAGAGACTGTAAGCGTAATTTCAATTAACCCTCCACACAAAGATGGCAATTTCCTGTTCACAACCCTACCCTTTATAGCCATGTCTGATCAAGTAGGAATTAGGTAAAAATGTTTATAATTTTAAAAACTGATTATTTTCCATTGTGGTTTCTCTACAAATTGTGCATTTCTACTACAGGAAAACATTTAACAATTGTCACAATTAAGTTCTTTTAAACCTAGAAAACGACAATATCTTTTATATTTATGATCAGAAAGAGTAACGTTTGAATCGGGCATTGTCATCTTTATATGGAGGGTCACTTGAAATTAGGTGCACAGTCCCTTTTCTTATTATTTATTAACAATATAAGAAGAATGTTTTGAATATAACCCCAGGAACCGAAGGGCTGTTTTCTTTCAGGATTTTCTGAATCTGTTTCCCATTTTAGGTTTTCATGCTGGCTCAAGTATAACCACAATAAGTTGGTAAAGACATAAACATGCATACCTAAGTTATCAAAAACCTCTGTATAAACCACCCCTGGGTTAACACTGTTAACTCTAACTCCAACTGCAGCCAATTCTTGAGCTGACATCCTAAAACAAGTAATAGTTTTAAAATTCCTTATCACACTTGTAGACATAGTTTAGCTTAATCCAACTATTTGCCTTGGAATTGGTTGTGTTGAGTAACTCAACAGATAGATACTCATATTTCTTTACATTGCTGCCATTCATGAAATATAAGTTTTTTATCAAACCAACTTACCTTGTAAGGATATCCAACCTACCTTGTAAGTATATCCAACCTACCTTGTAAGCATATCCAACCTACCTTGTAAGCATATCCAACCTACCTTGTAAGCATATCCAATGCTGCTTTACTCATACTGTAGGGAGCCATCCCTGGTGTAGCATGTGTTCCAAGAATCGAAGATATATTTACCACTGAACCCTAAGATACAATTTTAATTTATAAGAAAATAATTTATTTATCAAATTTGGGATTTTTGGGTACAACCCGGTCCTGTCCTGGGGACAAAAAATCTCTATTTTAAATTATCAAGATAAGATAGATTAATGCCTTAGATTTTGTTAGATGTGGAATGCATTGTTGAGTTAAGGTCATCACAGATCTAAACAAAATTATTTAAAATTATGTTATAATTTTCATATGCACTTAGAAATAGCGGCATAGGACATACATTCACAGTATACCAAAATTGGACATTTCAAAAAAGCAAGAAATATGCTCTGTTATTAACAAATATTGCTGCCATAGTTTTCTCACTGTCAATATCATATTTGCCATTTAAATCGGCTCATAGTGGGATTGATCCTGGTTTAGAGGTTGGTTCTAGGATTGATCCTGGTTTAGAGGTTGGTTTAGAGCAGGATTGGTCCTAATTTCAAGGTTGGTTTAGAGCAGAATTGGTCCTGGTTTCAAGGTTGGTTTAGAACAGAATTGATCCTGGTTTAGAGGTTGGTTTAGAGCAGGATTGCTCCTGGTTTAGAGGTTGGTTTAGAGCAGGATTGATCCTAATTTAGAGGTTGGTTTAGAGCAGTATTGATCCTGGTTTAGAGGTTGGTTTAGAGCAGGATTGATCCTGGATTAGAGTAGAATTGATCCTGGTTTAGAGGTTTGTTTAGAGCAGGATTGATCCTAGTTTAGAGGTTGGTTTAGAGCAGGATTAATCCTGGTTTAGAGGTTGGTTTAGAGCAGGATAGATCCTGGTTTAGAGGTTGGTTTAGAGCAGGATTGATCCTGGTTTAGAGGTTGGTTTAGAGCAGGATTGATCCTGGTTTAGAGGTTGGTTTAGAGCAGGATTGATCCTAGTTTAGAGGTTGGTTTAGAGCAGGATTGATCAAGTTTTTTTAGTAAAGAATACAAGCTCAGAAGATTAATCAGAAATCTTTATGAACCTTGATTTCTGCTAGCTTATTATTATTTGAAGAGCATAGAATTATAAAGAAACATAATTATAATATATACTTGTCCAGCCTTATTATATGAAAGTTTGAAGCTTTGGATAACAAGACTGAAAACCCTTTTCTGAATTTCATTTAGAAGGAGTAATTGGTAAGATCCTGATAAGCTTGAGAATGAATGCATAAGTTGAAAATATTAAAATCAAACCTTGCATTTACATTCATTATCCTGGTAAAATCCTCAGTAGTGGTTTCAGCTAAAGAACCTGCAACAAAATATTTAAAAATAAAATCAGAAAGTGTATTATTTATTATTCTATCTTTGAACCTACATATTTTACAGACACACCCTGCATTGTTAACCAGTACATCAATGTCTAAATATATTAATTTAGAATAGTTTCTTTAATTTTTCTAATGTTTTTTATTTCCTTAAAAGAAGGATTGTTTTAATATAATTTAAAATAAAACCATTAAAAGCTTCAATTGTCTCTTTAACAACCGCAACACATTCCTCTTCAACAGACAGGTCATGACAGCAGACTAAAACCTGAAAAATAGAATGTTTAAAGGGACTGAAAGCGTATTTAAAGTTACCTTGTTGCAAAGATTGCAATCCTCGATTTAACACGGTACCCCTGAAACCTTATTCTCATTCCAAATTTGAAAATAATCATTTATCAAAATTATAAACATTAATATCTAACTCATCTGATCAGACAAAGCTCTTAAGGGTACCGTTGTGAATCGGGCATTGCCATCTATTAATACAGGATCACTTGAAATTACCTTTAAAGGAAGTATTCTTAAAAAATCAACTGTGGTATTTTTTGCCTTGACTTGAATTGAATTCAAAATTATTACTTTCAATTTTAGCCCATATTCACTAAATCACAGGCATACTCTACACAATGTTAGCAACTCTTTTCTCATTACAGACGCATCAGAAAGATGAAAAAGGGATAGCGATCGATTTTGAGTTCAATTCTAATTCAGCTAATAATACCTACTTTAATTCTGCACTTCCTTTAACATTTTCTTTAAAAGCATTGTAATTAAAGTTAGAATAAAGATAGACAAAGATTTAAATCCATATTTTAAAAATTTGTTGTTTTCAGTTTATGTGATTTTGAAAAGCCCACCTCTGGTGCACCCTTAGCCCGACATTCTTCTGCAACTTCTTCTAGCATTTCCTTTCTTCTAGCAACTATACTTAGTCTAAACAGTTCTTATTATTTTCCTTTCTTCTAGCAACTATACTTAGTCTAAACAGTTCTTATCATTTTCCTTTCTTCCCGCAACTATACTTAGTCTAAACAGTTCTTATCATTTTCCTTTCTTCCCGCAACTATACTTAGTCTAAACAGTTCTTATTATTTTCCTTACTTCTAGCAACTATACTTGGTCTAAACAGTTCTTATTATTTTCCTTTCTTCTAGAAACTATACTTAGTCTAAACAGTTCTTATTATTTTCCTTTCTTCTAGAAACTATACTTAGTCTAAACAGTTCTTATTATTTTCTTTACTTATAGCAACTATACTTAGTCTAAAAAGTTCTTATTATTTTCCTTACTTCTAGACACTATACTTAGTCTAAACAGTTCTTATTATTTTCTTTACTTCTAGGAACTATACTTAGTCTAAACAGTTCTTATTATTTTCCTTTCTTCTAGAAACTATACTTAGTCTAAACAGTTCTCATCATTTTCCTTTCTTCTAGAAACGATACTTAGTCTAAACAGTTCTCATTATTTTCCTTTCTTCTAGAAACTAAACTTAGTCCAAACAGTTCTTATTATTTTCCTTTCTTCTAGGAACTATACTTAGTCTAAACAGTTCTTATCATTTTAAGTTTAAGTGATTGAAATGATGTCAGATTGTACGTGCAATTTACTTTAGTTTGCTTTGTGAACATTTAACATGCATCTTTGTTTACATAATTCGTAATATTTATCAAAAAAATGAAAATGCAATTTCAATTTACTTTAATTTGCTGTGTAAACTGCATCTTTGTTTACATAATTCGTAATATTTATGAAAAGAAAATGAAAGTGCAATGAAAAATATTTTGCACATTGAACAATAAATAATAATATTAGTTATAAGATCAGATATGCATAAATAAATATTTACAAAAAAGTTAACCGAGAGAGTTAGAATTCTACTCTAAAATTATGAATCATTATCACCATCATCAGCTCTCCAAGGGAAGTACCTGCAACCTAATTTTGCAAATTTGATGGCTGTCCCCTTCCCAATACCAGAGCTAACTCCTTAAAGTTTGATTTAATTTTGAGAAAGACATTATTACTAAGTACATTTTATTCTTCCTGTATTAGAGATGGGTATCGTTGGTATCATTCAAAAAAACTAACAATGAACGAACTTCTTGGATTGTTCAAAGGAATTTGAAAAAAAAAAACAATACTTTTTTACTGAAAAAACGATTTTTTCAAACAAACTTTGAAAAAAAACTTTAGTTTTTTCACTGAATGAACGATTTATTTAACAAACTTTTGAATAAAAGATTGTTTCTCCACTAAAATAACAATTTTAGGGCATGAACGAACGATTTTACATAAAGACTATTCAGTGAGAAAACGAACGAAATAAATGGAAACTGAATGGTTAGTTTCAGAACGAACTAATAATTTGTTTTTTGAGTGATTAAAAAATACGAACGAAAGTGGGCGTTTACAATTATTGAAAGAACACAATGAAGAAAAAAACGCTCCCATCTCTACCTGTTATCAGAACAACTTTTTTCTTTAATTGTGGATCCATTTCCAACAAAATCTGAAATCTTCAAATTAATAAAATAATGATTATTGTACAAAATTGTATGATTTCAAATTTATCTGCAATCTAGACTTTTGTTCTAAATAAAGAAATTCTTTAAACCTGTTTTTTTTTAATGTTTATAAAGGCATGGCCACCAGAGATTAAAACTTGCCATTGCCAGTATCACGTTAAACTAGACGTCCTTGTTTAAAGTTCAGGGAGTCTTTACTTTTGAACCCATTCTCATCCATTAAGTGATAATTTTTAGATTTGCTATTTGATACCTCTTTAATGGGGTATATATTTTAAATATTTAAGTAAAAAACAAGACATTCGTATATATATGTTGCGTATAGCTGGCTAAACGGCTGGACCGATTGGGTAGAAATTTTTGTTGACACTCAGGGGTGACCGGGGGGTGTTTTAGGCTATCAAATTCGAAATTTTTTTTTCAATTTAAAAAAAAATAATTTTTATTCTTTTTCCACGTGCAACGCCGGGCCTTTTAGCTAGTATTAAAGTAAATAAGGTGTCTTGCATTATTTTTGACGGAATTGAATGAGAGAAGGGAAGTTTTTTGGGGGACACTCTACACTCTACATTGATAACCAGAAACTCTGAAACAGGAAGACGACTTATAAGCTCAAGTTATAACTTTAAATGCGACACAGCAATTGTTCAATGTAAACAGAACCATTTCACCTAATACGTGATGTAATAAGCGTCTAGTGAAACTATCTGACCTGTTGAATTCTATTTATAGTGAATAGTGATAACTAGGAAACTCTGAAATGGAAAGATGTTGTTACAAAGCAAATAGCTTTACTAAACACTTTTTTAAACACTAATTTAGGGAAATGGGACTGTTTACACTGCACAATTGCTGTGTTCTACGCTTATTGAACTATTTACAGTCATAACTTGAGTCTAAATGTCGTCTTCCTATTTCAGAGCTTTCTGGTTATCAATGTATTTAATCTGTTTTATACAAACTGATTGTAGAACCATCCCTGATAAAAACTGTCTACATGTCTAAAGTACACTGATATCTAGACAACTTTGGAAATTATTCAGCATTTTTTCTGACAACCTCGACTTAAAAGCTTTGAAAAGTCTTAGGCCTTAGTTTTACCTCACCAAGTGCCATATACTTCAGAAATCTGTAATTAGTAAAATACTGATTGGTCTGTGCACATCTTGGTTCGCAGTGTTTATTCCCCAATCAATGACTAGCCTTGTTTAATATGTTTCTATAACCCTAACTTTACAAACGCTGCAGAGAGTATATTAGAGTAGGAGCCTTTCCAGACCTAAAGAGTAGTTGAAACAAATTATGCAATAACAAAACGACTTTTAGTGTAAGATAAAATAACTTATTTATCAGAAAAGTGCGCAACCTACACTTGTATATATTTATGAAGTCATTGGACACAGAAGTGGTTTAAGATGTCAAGCAATTAATATTTAAACATATTATAGAAAATTAAGCTTTACATGCTAAAATGGTCGGAAATTGACGAAATTTTGTTTATCTCTAAAAGAATATGATGATCAATTGTTAAAATAAAGCTAATTTTGAAATTTTTCAATTCAACTCCATTGTATAAAAAATAGGCAAATATGTAGAACAAAGTTTTTCTGATATCATTAAGTAATTTAAAGGATTTTTGTTTAAAAAAATATTTTTTTATTTAAAGGGTAGGGTACAGGGCGGAAAAAAGTCCGGTCTGTTAAAAAAATTTAAATAGCCCTATATTAAAAACTATATTTTTGAAAAGCCCATGAAAAATGCATGTTGAAACATGTGTCACACTTTTTTTTAACCGTTTTAAGCAATTTTTTCCACCCTCCCTAGCATCCAAACTATTTAAGTTTGGGTGCTGGCCATGAAAAATTGGACTATGAACATGCATTTCATTTCATAGGGTTAAGAGAAAAAAATATTGTTTAAAAAAACAGTTTAAAATCGTTCAAACGATCTTGATCGCGCATGTACGATTTCTGTATCGTTTGTTTGAACAAACTTGAAAAAACTGTCGTTTTTTAATAGACAAACGAATTTTCTAAATGATTTTGCAAAAATAACTTTTAAAAAAACAATAGTTTTAACTTACCAAAAAACGATTTTACTGAAAACGAACATAATTAATTGAAAATTAACGATAATTTTGAGAACGAAAGGAATCAATTTTTAACTATTGAAAAAAAGTGAAGTTCGCAAACAAATAAACGAACGAAATGAAAAATAGCTGATCGCGCTCTTCTCTAGTCCTGGGTTGAACCAAAATGTTGGGTCGAGTAAAAAATAACAAAACGTTGCAATTGGTAATAAATTAAAGTATATCATTGTGGAAGACTATGCCTGGCCGCGTTAAACTAGTTCCACAAGATTCAACAGAATGAGATAGAACGGATACGGGGCATAGTACTGAAAAAACATCTACACGTGTGATTTCGATATTGACTCTAGTTCTGAACCCTCTAGTAATAAGTTATAAGAAATATATATACTGGAAGTTATTTATGCGTTGTTATTTAGAGTCTGACTTTTTAATATCAACACATTTTTTTAATGCTCCAGCGTTGTATTGTACTATGTAATATATGCTTAAAAATTCCTAGAACCTTTTATTCATAGAAAAGACGACATTTGTGTCATCTTTATTAGACATATTAAAGCATATTTCTTTACGTTTAAAACCTTATGCCAAGTCTTTATATAATGACAAAGGTGTAAAGGGTGCATTTATTCTTTAGATTATGTAAATGTAACAATTAAAAAAAATTATTGAAAATTACGTTCGCATTTCCTTTAAACAGATCTATTTCAGTTATACTAATATTTTCCAGCAATAACAGTTAATTTAAAGTTGATTTAATTCAAAACAATATGTGTTTGCTGTTTACGACAATTGTTTCTATTTTTCTAATTTTACATTAATACTTAACATTTTTATCCCAAATTTATATCAAATCTCCTCATATTAGTAATTTAATGAAATCATTAGAAAATGATTTTCACCTCTATCTATGTAATATAATGATATAGAAACTAAATAAAACAAAATATATAGACATTTTTGTGCAAATATACTTATCAATGCAAAACTAGTATACATACTTTGTAACTATAGTATCTATTCTATATAATAGAACAAGACGTTCATATATATATATGTTGCGTATAGCCGGCCAATTTTTTTTTCGAAGTGCTTCAAAATTCCATGGGCAACGCAGGACACTTCAGCTAGACTTCTATCTGTATAATAAAGCTCTTCGCTCATGCATATATATATTTATATAGATACGCGGGAACTACAGCTAGTCTTCTATCAATATATCTTATCACTATATATTAGCTCTTACATAATACTAGCTGAAGGGCCTGGCGTTGCCCGTGATATAGCTGGCCAAACAGCTAGACAAGACTGACTGACATGTTTTTATGAAACCCATGGGTACAAAAGTTGGTTAAAAAGAATAGAATTTTTTTGATATTCAAAATCGATTTTTAAAAGTATATTTAAAATTCAACGTGCAACGCCGGGAACTTCTGTTGGTAATTAATATATATGTTTAGATAGAAATTCTACTTCATGTAAAACAACCTTTTCCTGGATTTTTCCTTAAAAAAGTCAACCCTTGCTCAACTAAGAATGTTCAAGCCAGGCAATTAGACTATTCCCGTGGTTCTACAGAGTATATCCTAATCAAAATTTGAGGCAAATCGGTTAAGGCGTTCCTGAGTTATACTTGGTCATCAGAGATTACTACTACTTTATATATAGATATTTTACGTGTTCTGATAACCGATAAGGTACCTTTAAAACCCAGGTAACAAAAATGAGGAATTTCCCCAGATTCTCCAAATGTGGTGACTTTCTTTGTAGAATTTCCGAGAAATTTCTCGAGAATCATATTCTGTAACTGTTACCTCAGAAATTCTCGAGAAATTCCCCAGAATTGGTCCCAAAGATAAGAGATTTTTGGGGGATCACAGTTTTGAGACTCAGTTTCGAGAAATTCTTCGGAATAGCTGTCGACATTTTCACCGGATTTTCCTGTGAAAGATTCCTGGGAATTTCTGCGGATTTTCCGCAAAATTGTTACTTAGGTAGTTGTACAAATTGATACTTGAGCTTGATTCTTGACTGATCGAATTTCTCAGGATGACATTTACGACTTACATACAATGGTACAATACATAGATCTAAAATCTAGAAGCGTGCTTTGTTTTAATGCCTGCTCTACTTCTCTATTTCGGGGGTAGACAATGATAGCCCCCTCTCTTCATGGAAATGGAGTAACAGAAACATGGATCTTTCGGCTTAAATGTTTCTAGGTAAATGAACACGATTAGATTTACAATTTTTTTTAAACAATTTCTATTTTTTTGTTTTGTTTTGATTTTGATGGCTAAGACAACGGTATCCTTTAAACCTTCATCTGCTGAATAATCTTTGAGGATAAAGTCGTTTTTCTAACATAAAATGTGATTGATTCTTTTAGTTTTTCAATTGTTTTTTTTTCAACCAAGAAATGCACTAATCACAATTAAAGAGACCCTATACAAATAAAATAATCAGTTTTTTTAAACAAAAACTTGGATTCAAACTTTATCAACTTTATTGTTTCCCTATTATGAATAATGAAATCTTTTTATCATATCAAATGTTTCAATAGATCTTTTTCAGGTAAAAAATGAATACAAATAGCTTTTGTTAACGAAATCCTGTAAAATGAGGCCGGACATTTGTAATATATAGTTTAAAGCTGAGACAAGATTTTAAAAGCTTAAACCCGACTAAAACCCAAACTTGGGCTTAGATAGAACCCAAGTCAGGATTGGTTCTGATTCGACAAATGAGAGACTGTGTTTCAAGCTTTCTCTCTGTAGCAGACAGAATGCCGTCAGATCAGCTGTGACAAGGAGATGTAAATTTCGATAATTCAAACTTTATGTAGATACATTATTTTCATAGTATGTTTATTTTATATAATTAATAACATTTGACACCACAAATAATTCCCAAGATTTCAAATGTACAAATATAAAAGATTTTACGAAATGTACAATCATCAGCTGCTGAAGACTCGAGCCTTAAAGAGGGTTGGTTCTTACTAAACTCAAGGCCATCCAAAACCCGGGTCTTGACTTGAGCTTTACTTGGGTCTAAGCAGACGCAAAGACCGGATTTTAATCGGGTTTAAGCTTTTAAAATCTCATCTCTGAACTAACATATAATTTAGAAAAGAGATTGAAATTTTTTTATTGATTAAATTCTTTACAACAATAACAAACATGTAGCACATGTATAATGTTAAAAAAAGATCACTCTAAATGTTTTTAAGCGTATTTTTACGATAACATTTGAAAACTTTTTAATTCGTATGGTTGATTTTCTTTTCTTACAGTAATAAACAGAAAACTGTGGAATAGGAAGGCGATATTACAGCAATAATTAGGTGTATTTGATGTTGTTACAAAGCAAATAGTTTTACTTGTAACTTAAGTGAAAAGGTCTGTCCAAACTCAACAATTGCTGTGTCCAGCTCATTGGACTATTTAAAGTTATTATTTGAGCCAAAAAGTCGTCTTACTATTCCAAAGTTTTATGGTTATCACTGTATTAAACATGATAAATTGTTTATTCAAATAGTTTTATTACGATCATAATAACAATCTAAAAGCTAGAAAACACAGACAACTACTGGAACTATTATTTTATCTAAAAATGACAAAAAAACAAAAGTAGATGTCTTATATACAGTGATACATACATGGAGAAACATCAACAACTACTCGCAGATTTATTGTATAAGAAATATCTACATAAATAGATCGATAATTATGTATATACAGGGTGTTACATGAATCATCTTACACTAATAAAATAGCCAAAAAATGAAAATATTCTGTATTTAATTCTACATGGCCGGAAACATCAATTTAGTATATAATTAGTCACTTTAGGGATATTTGGCTAAAATTGCATAAAACTTGCAAAAAAAGTTTGTTCTTTTAATTTTGATGTTTTTGAATGTCGTCGTCTTTAGCCGGGGGGGCTCTTACTTACATGATAAAACTTTAATAGTTTTTTTTCTGCAATTTAGTGACAGCTTGTGCCGTAAATCCAATTTGATAAACTGTTCACGTTTTTTTAATGAAAATTTTAGAGTTTTGGCAAACCGTTTATACTACAATCAACTGTATAACGTCTTGCACAAGGGGGGAGGGGATGGAAAGACCTCAATTGGTAATTAAAGCCACCCAATGTGTTTTGCGGCAAACGCACTCCTCAATTTGTAATTATCCACCACCTCAATTTGTAATCAGAAATAAAAATGTGAATATTAAACCGTTCATTTAATATAAATAAGACCAAATTGACCTCTGTTAATGACCCTATGGTGTACTACAAGTGTTAAAGCTTTCTAAATTTTTTCTCCTCAGTTTCGAAAAAAAGCAGCCAGACCTTTTAGTATCTTAACTCCAATCATGAAATGCAGTCATTTAATTGGCAAATTTGATCTAAGATTCGGCTAAAATAAACTAGGCCTTGTTTCTCAGTTTATGTTGACCAAGCTAATGTAAACTCAAATTGAGAATTTAGTTTAAGCCAACATGCATGCCATGAACCCCCTATAAATGTCAAATACTGTGTTAAAAATGCATTAAACTAAAATCTCAGAAAACAATATTTTATGCTGCAGGTTACAAATTGAGATGATGGAGATTACAAATTGAGGAGCGCGCATGCCGCAAAACACGTTTGGGTGGCTGTGATTACTAATTGAGGACATCTGCACTCCCCCCCCCTCTTGCACCCTTAAGAGTTGACAAACCGTCAAAAAAAAATCCAGCTTCGCGCAATTTCTGAAAGGCTAATGCTCTTCATTGCAAAAAACCGTTAATGACCGATTGTTTCCGTTAATGACATTAATAAAATTGAAATCGTTAACTAACGGTAACTTTAAAAAACGGAAAATACCGGTAATGAAACGAACGTTCTATTCTTTTTTCAACATTTTGCATTCCGTTCCTATTAAAGAAATGCAAAAAAAGTGAAATTTCGTGTTAATCTGTTCCGCGGAAAAAATTTCGAGAAACAAAATAATCCGCATTCTTGTTTCGTGAAAAAGTCGCATTTTTTCTCCGCAAAATTGTTGCACATTTTTCCCCCCACAAAATTCGAAAAAGTTTGCGAACAACAAAAATAAAATCCTAAAATTTTGCATTCTTTTGCGAAAGTTTTTGTTGTTGCTGGAGATCCATGTGAGCGTTATATTTTTCTTTATTGAATCTTTTCATTGTTGCTTTACAGGAGAGTTTAACGCTCGGAAATTCACTAGCATAAAGTTGTTGTATCAAACCCCCTCTGACTCACTTAAAGGGACTGTGGGCGTAATTTCAAGTGACTGATCATCGAGTAAAGAGAGCGTTTGTTAATGGGGATACCCTGAATAATATAAGATACATATATGAAGATATTCAATTATATTTTTATTGTAAAATAAAAGCATTTGAGATCTCAACAATTGTAAAATCACCTCAAATTGTTCGAAATTGAAAAGGGTAAAGGGTAGTATTATAAAGCATCCATTCCATCCACTTTAGAAAACACCATCAATGTATTCCTAAAATATAAAAATATCTTGAAATATAAGAAGCTTTCTTAACTCATTCATTTAAATACTGCAAAATAAGTTTCAGCCACAAAAATTAGGATAAATCGTGCATAGTACTTAAACGTTAAGCATTGTTATAACTTCCATGAATAGATATCTATGATTCTTTTTATTTGATAATTGATAAACAATATTAATAAAGTTTGGTAAAGCATGCACAATTAAAAAATGATTCTTAAATCTTCAAAGAAAGATTTGCCTATTTGAACCAATTGCTTGAATTATCATAAAATTTCATATTAAAAATAAGGGTTGCTAAGGCAAAGTATTGATAGTATCGACATCAGTTTAAGAATGAAAACAAATATTCCCTCCCAGCCCTCTCTCTTGAATGTCTTGTTTTTCGAAAATTCTAGAATAAAATGGAGACGATTAATCACCGAAGAAAAATGTATATACCTTAGCCAGCCAAGTCTGTCAACACGACTTCTAAACACTTCTGATTCTTTAGGAAGATAAACCAGACTTCTATCCACCATGATCTAGACAAAACAACAGCTGAATATACTAAACAGCTGAATCCAAGCAATAGATAAATCTTAACAACAGCTGAATATACTAAACAGCTGAATCTAAACAGCAGCTGAATCTAAGCAATAGCTAAATCTAAACAACAGCTGAATCTTAAAAACATCTGAATATACTAAACAGCTGAATCTATACAACAGCTGAATCTAAATAACAGCTAAATCTATACAACAGCAGATTCTAAACAACAGCTGAATTTTAACAACAGCTGAATTTAAACTACAGCTGAATCTAAACAACAGATGAATCTAATCAACTATTGAATTAAAACTACAACTGAATCTAAACAGCAGCTGAATCTAAGCAACAGCTAAATCTAAACAACACTGAATCTAAGCTACAGCTGAATCTGAACAACAGCTAAATTTAAACAGCATATGGCTCTAAACAACAGCTGAATTCATAAAGCAGCTGGCTCTAAACAACAGCTGAATCTAAACTACAGCTGAATCTAAATACACCTCCATGCCCTGATTCTAAGCACTTTTTTACCCCCGGGTATTCATAGATTTAGACCCCCACTCCTCCTCTTACGCCTTTTTAAGGTTGGAAGTATCTATATATAGTCTTACCTTGATAATATCTTGATTTGATTTCTCATTAACATGACCATGTCCTCCTTGTCCTACGACAGCCCAGGACAGGATTATGCCATATTTACTTAACTAAATCAAGCTCATTAAAGAAAGTGTGCGAGAAAAATGAAGGAAGGTATAGATTATACAGTGAGAACTAGAAAATAATTGAATAGGAAGACGACATTATAGCCGTTCTAAAGTGTATTTTATGTTGTTACAGAGCAAATATTTTTAATATAACTTTTTAAATCACTAATTAAGTGATATGGGACTGTTTACACTGCATTATTTCTGTGTATATCACGCTCAAATTGGATTCTTTGAGGTCAAAACTTAATTCTAAAAGTCGTCTTGCTGTTTCAGAGTTTTCTGGCTATCAATATATTGGTGCTATCATGTCGTTTATTGATTCACAACGGTACCCTTCGCGTTTAAACCTTTGCCTGATTAAAAACGGGGAAGATCATTGTGTTTCTTTTTTGAAAACTTTTAAACTCTGACAAGTTTGAAGGTATCGTTTGAAATTTTACATGCAACTCTAAAAGTATTAATTTATTTTTTGATAAAAACTCATTGGAAAGAATATCCACAAAGGAATAAAGTCTTTGCCACAAACTCAAATTTTCTAATCCCAATATCTTTGCTACTTCATGGCGAAAATCTTTGATATTTTACTTAATTTAATAGATATTACAGATTTCAGAGACATTGGGTTAAAAATCAATAGGGATTGGAAAATAAGATTTGTTTTAAAGACTCAATTCTTTTTTTTAGAAAATTGTTAAAAATTGTATTGAATATACTAAATTTGACAAAAACCTTTGCTTTGATGCCCTTTAAAGTTTATACGGTGGTAGGCGATTATATCAATATAATGAAGACGACCTTCGATTTCAATTATGATTCATATCAAGCTTTTAAAAAGCATGGATACACAAAAAAACATGAAAACATAGAGAAGTTGGTAATTTAAAAAGCTTCTCTCTCATTATTTGTAAACTTGTAATTTAAAAAAAAGCTTCTAAAAAACTAAAACTTGAATAAAAAAGTTGTCTTCATTATATTGACATAATTGCCTACCATTGTAGCAAAAAAATATTTTATTTTAAACTTATTTAAATTTTTAGATTACCCGAATCAGATTATCTAATGAAACATCATTTTAAACAAAAATTAGTGATGGATAATTTAACTCCTTCGCTCCAACGTGTGTTACATGTATGTTACAAGTCAACTTAATGTTCAAGAAATTGAGTCTTTGATTCTGTAATCCCAGCATATTTGCAACCTAATGTCGTAGACCATAGATATATAAAATCTGCGAATTCAAATAATCTAAGTTTGAAATACCACAATGTTGCCTCTAAAAAAGATTTTTGTGTTTTTATTTGTTTGCTAAAAATTATTCCTACTTTTTGAACGTGTATTGAAAACAATTTGGAGGTTCTATAAAGATTCAAATGTTTCACAAATATGAAAACATATCAAAATGAACAAGCTATTTTTAACGTTCCAGTTTTATTATTTATATATGGATAGTTTAAATTTATTTTTAAACGATCGGTTGGGTTTGAAAACGACGAAGAAAAAAAAGAAAAACGAAACGGTCGTTATTAAAAACAATAGTTTTTGAAAATTAAGAAACGAAGAAGTCGTTTTTTTGTTTTGGTTCGTCGTTTCGTTAACGAAGGTAGGTCGTTTTTATTTTTTCAACGATCGTTAGCTAAGACCCTTTGTTAATCATTGTTAACAACTTTTTTATGCAAAAAACAGTTTTGGTCTAAAACCCCTCAGATAAAAAAATCTTGGGTCAATTAACATTTCGGTTATTTCCATAGATAAAAAATAACAATTTAAGGCAACATTCATAAACTTACCATCCTGAAAATAAATTTAAATTAATTGTCCTAAAACTCAGATTCATTTGAAACATTTTTTTCCCCAAAACTATCGTATTAAAAACCGATCGCATTTTTTTTTCTTTTTCTGTTTGTTTTTTGAAGTTCAAAACGAGCGGTTCTTTCGTAGTGACCCATCGTTTTTTTTTTAAACGAAACGATCATTTTTTAAACGATTAACAAATAACAATCCTAATTATAAGTCTAAGAATCTATCACATAGTCCGTGAGTTTTGTTTAAAACCTGGGGCCTGGAAATTTGTCTTTATTTTGTTGTTAAAAATGATTCCTATATAGACCATCATATATTCTGCCGGGATATGTTCTCCTACTTCTATACTTATCACCCAGTCAAACGGAGCACCCAGAGCATCAAAATCTAAACATTTGTATTCGCCATCAATTTGGTATTTTTTTATGTAAACTGAAGTACCGGACCTACCTCTTGGCAACTAGAGGAACTGTACAGTATAAGCTGTACAGCATAAACTGTACAGTATAAACTGTACAGAATAAACTGTACTGTATAAACTGTACAGTATAAACTGTACTGTATAAACTGTACAGTATAAACTGTACAGTAAATTCTCCTCACTCTAAAAGTTGCATGATCCAAGCCAGGAAAACATGTACCGTATATACATTCACTTGTACTGATCAGTCTTGACTACTCAAGTCGACCCAGCACGTTTTATTAAACAAATAAAGCCTGGCAAGATCGCACTGAAAGAGGTGATAGATGATTTTCACCATGCCACTCCCCTTTATGATCATACATGATTAGTTTTTTTTTATAATGAAACAACATTTAGAAAAGATGTTTTTTGGTAAGATAAACAAGGCACCGAAAACCAGTTTTTTAGAAATTTAATCTAAAGGTTGATTCACCTATGCAAGTAAAAAAAACCTTCAAAATAAAAAGATCTGTATAAAAAGACTGAATTTAGAAATAAAAAAAAGAAATATTTGTTAATAATTGAACAACTTAGATTCAAAAAATGATTTTTGACGCCCCAAGAAATAGTTTTTGACCATTTACAGTGCGTTCCACTGAATTATGCAAATGCTTGATTTTACTAGCAATGCAGAAATATTATATATTTACTTGAATACTCAGTATTTTCATACGAATTTAGTGTACCACTGAATTATGCAACTGGCCTGTATCTTGTCCTGGTTTGCAAATATTAAAACAAAACTTTGTCATTTGCAAATAGCAATTGTATAATTGTATAATTGTATAATTGTATAATGCATTGAAATAAAGTTTGGATTTTGAAAAAATGTACGAAGGGGTTCAAAACCCTGTTATATTTTAAAAATCGTAAAAAATAGCAAAAATTAATTTTGACTTGCCACCCTTTCTTCTGTGGCAATTCATGGAGGTTGTTTGCTTGAGGCTTTTGGAGGTTGGAATAACCTTTGGGAGCATATTGTATGACCTTTTACAGGGTTTTCTTAAACCCAAAATTTGTCTTTCATTCCTGTAAATTTCGTGTTTCAAGATCGTCCGGAGGATTTCTATGGGGTTGAGGTCAGCTAGATTTTGAGGCCCGGTCATCACCTGGCCTCCCTTCAACCTCTACAACAGTCCATGCAGGTATAATTTAATACACGACTTTGTGATATATATATATACTGTCAAAAAATGAATGACTTCTGTTTTGCTGGATTTGTTGATCAACACAGGGGGAGAAACTAGCCTCCAAGAGGTCAAAACAGGCCTCCGAGTTAATTTTAAATCATTCTGATATTATTGTTGGTTCAACTAGGTTGTCTTTGTTGATCAGTGCTAAATACAAGACAAGAATCAGACACACAAGACAAGAATCAGACACACAAGACAAGAATCAGACCTACCCCCTTCCCTGTTGGGGCCAATGCACCCCGAACTAGCCAGAGAGAGAAGCATTCGGTTTCTTTTATTCGTAATCAAACGTGTTTTCGTCTATTATTCAACAATCTTTAAACTTACAGATTTGTTTATTTTATACTTTTTCATTCAAAATGTATATGGCAACAAAAAATTATTCAAAAAAAAAACGCCAATAAATTAGGTATGAGGGGTCAAATTGAGATCGAAAGTCACAGCTTTCTGAAATATTGACAGAACCTTTAAATCCACGTGAATGTCTTGCCTTGGCATTTTGTTATAAAGGGCTCTCAGGGTATTGTTTTACAAACCTAGCCATTGTTTTCAAAACTCTACAACTAGACATTTTAGGGATTGCAGTCACCCCTGTTGCATCAAAGATTGATTTTAGGGTCTTATGTGGGTTCAAGTTTTTTTTGTACATGTCACTTTTTCAAATTTTTGAAGTGCTAAATATCAATTGATGTCGGTAAAAAGTTTTGTTTTTTTATTTGTAATTTACGTTTTATCCAATTTTAAGGAAGTCAAAAATCGATCAATCTTACAAACAACGTACTGACCAATAAAACAAATAAACCATCATTTTATGAAATCAATATGGAAATTATGATTTCGGAAAAAGAAAGAATATGACCGTTATTCATAGATAATAGAATTAATGAATGGCAAGATGAAGTTGAACTAAATCTTCCTAGTTTAGCCACTTCTCTTGTGCATCACATTATAGTTTGACTAACCTTCTCTTTTTACAGGAATACTCGCGTCTAGGAAACAAACCTTCGGCACTGAAACAAATTAAACTTTTAGTTATAGTCACTGTTAAGTACATACAGGGTTACAAACAAAGAATGAGACTGTAAAGACGACTTGAAACTCTTTAACGTTCATTAACAGAATGTTACCCTTTAGAGATAAACATAAAGTCTCAGCCTGATCCCTTGAAAACTCAAGGCTGGGCAATAAATATAGTAACGGGCATTTACACGGGCGCTGTGACTGTGTTTTTAAACAAGACCAGGGCCATTCTCGCACTTAACTTCGGAGGCTGAGGCGGCCCACTTGCACTTCAAGGGGGCTCACCAAAATTTAATGCAAGCTAGCTAGTCACAGGGGGGGGGGAAGTCTTGTGAAAATGCACGTATAGGCAGGCTCTCTGCTGTTCCAAAAATGTGCTTGCTAGTCGGATTTCCTCACGCACGAGGGTGCTAGAGCGTCGGGAAACCCGTCGGTCGCAAGGTGCAATTTAAATATTTCGAATGAAAACCAAAGACAATAATCGTTTGTCTGTTTGTTAGTAACTAGATAAAGGGATTGCCCGTGGAATTAAAAAAATTGATTTTTGAAAAATACAAATTTTAGATTTTTTTAGCCTATATTTACCTCCAGGGTAGGCATGGGTTCCATTCAAAAATGTTAGCCAATTCGGGCCGGACGTTTGGCTGGCTATAGGGAAGATATATACGATTGTCTTTTTTGCATTATAGTGATTATTTACTGTACCTGTATAAACCGCAACATCAATAAGTGAAACATTTTTTCCACAAAATGAATTTACATTACTTCCACCATCATACCCTGTCCAGTCTACTGTTGTATCTCCCTGTACATACAGGGTGTTAAAAAATCTCTTTTAGGTTATATTAAAGCTCTTATAATAGTTTGATTTTTACTTTTTTTGGACATTTCCGAAATCAATTATAACATTTCCGATCAATGAAAACCAATTAAAGGTTTGATATCACTAAAAAGGCAGTTTAATTTTTTTTAAACCGTCAATATGCTACAGTGAAACCCTTAATAACGAATACATCGGAAGAATTTATCAAATGTCGTCTTGACAATTTTTCAATGAGTTTTATACTATATTACGTAAATTTCAGTATTTGCGAAAATAAATAAATAGCCATGAATATGCGGGAACAGTTTTAAAGAGTTCCATATAATCATTTAATTAAAAAAACTAAATGTCTGCAACATTCCATTACCAGAAAGTGAAGAATACGGCATTTGATGAATTCTTTCGATGTATTCGTTATTAAGGGTTTCACTGTACAAACTCTTATTTTCGAATCTCTAAATCGCTGCAACTTGATGTCGTGATATTTCATTTGAGAACTGGCTATAACACGTATTTACGGTGTATAATTGCTGAATAATAGCAGAATTCGATCGATTGAAATTATAAAATAACGAGGACGAAGAAGTAACATAAGTTATACAGTAAACTTTTTTTAAGGAGATTTTTTTCCCCCAGGAATATGATCAGGTTGTTACGATCAAGTCTCAGAATTTTTCTGCTGCGAAGGTTTGGTGTTGAATGGGTTTATATTGATCTACCATAGGGGGTTGTACTCTGGCAGCACATTCATCCATCCACGCTTCAATCATACTGAAAAGAAGGTTGACAAGATTCCAGATGCCTATAAGGGCTTGTAAGGCCTGAGAATAATAGAGTGCAAGAATTCTTCTGATATACTGGAATGAGGCCCGTCTGTCTTACAGAAAACTCATTGCTCCCTATAATTTGTAAGCCAGGATTGGATACCTCCAGCGACAAGTGGTCGTTACATGGAAGTCAATAAAACCTATCATGGAAATGTAGCATGGCGTGCCAGGACAACAAAGGCCTGCTTAGCCTATCCAGGTAGAGCTTATGAACAGGGTGTTCATATCTAGTCTGAGGGCTAGCCCTCTTACCTGTAATTGTAACCACGAACCGAACTGTCCAACTCCTGCTCCAATATCTCCTATTGTTGGTTTCCTCTCATCATCTAAACACAAATTCTAACCTTTGCAGTATAAACAAGGAGGGTTAAAGAGATTTTAAGCGTAATTCCATGAAAAGATGACAACGCCCGATTCACAACAGTACCCCTTAGGCCTTAACCCTTATCTGTTCAGTTTAATGTCTAAGGTTTACAGCGTGCATCGTTTTGAATCAGGAATATCTACCTTTGCATTGAGGGTCTCTTGAAATTACGCTATAACATTCACTTTAAGTGCATACAACAGAAGTTTAAAGGGACTGTTTATTTAATTCTAAATGCTCTTATACTCCCAAATATCCCAATTTTTAGTCCACAAAACACATCGAAGTCTATTTTACCGCTGTAAGATGTTCCAAATAATCAAAACTTTTAATTATATTTCCATTGCGTTTTGTATGCTGAAGCTTAAAATTTACCTTGTCTACGTCGTAGGTAAAAGAAATGAGTTTTTGCCACAAACTAAAATTTTGAATCCCTTTATATCTTTGCAAAGTAATGATGTAAACTTTAAATATAAATTAGAACCTTTTGGTCTTACAGAATTTATAGTTTGAAATATCAAAGTCTACAATATCGGATTACAAAGATATAGGGATTAGAAAATCAGATTTGGTTGCAAACACTCAATTCCTTTACAAGGACACTTTAAATCAAGGTATGAAGGCTTTCACGCAAAAAATAATTAGTATTATTCTAAATACTCCTCTTAAACTTTAGCTAGAAAATGTTAATTGTATATGCCCAGGGCTACAAAAATGTAAAAGTGAATTGTTGAGGTTAAACCAAAAGCCAAGGCGTTGCGACACTTTAAAGTCGAGGCTGTCTAAAAATTTGATAACTTTTAGAGTTGTCTAGATTTAAGCGAGGAGAATTAGGGAATAATTTCCATTTTCTGAATATCCCAATTTAACAAAGGATATATTACCTTTTGGAGGAGTGTTTTTTAAAACTAATCTTAATATTTCCTTTCCCAGCCCATCATCAAATCTAAAGTAAACATAATTAGAGAAATTTAGCCAGAAATTATGCAATAAGTCTTTTGTTGCCCCACTATTTAATAGGTGAGTTAAAAATTAAGAATATTAAGAAGTACATAAATATTTTTTATATCATGGTATTATACTCCCTTTAAAGGGACTGTCAGCGTAATTATATGTGACTCTCTATGAACAGTAGGGAAATGCACGATTTACAACGGTTACCTTAAAACCTTTCTTTGTTCTTCGAGTACAGAGATGTGAGTGTTAAACGCAGGAAGGATGATAGTTTCCTATACCTGTGTGCTTAGTTAGCTGTACTGTGTCCGAATTTAATGAATTTGAGCCGCGTCTTAAATCCGCCAAAAAACCGGTTTTAATTGAGCGCTGGCTTAAATCTTGAAACATTGAATACAATTTTAAGTGAAACCAACCATAATTGAGCCGCAGCTTAAATTTATGCCGCCACTCAAATTCTTGAAATTCGGCCTGTGTACACCTGAAACTGCTTACTAATATTGATATACTATAAGGTTAGGCCAGAATCTCCTTATAATAAACAAATATGCAGTACCCTCTCGGTATAGTTGATGGCCTATACAATTAGGAAAAGATTACAGTACATCATCACTCGATACACTATTACCTCGTTGGTAAAACGTAACTAAATCTGCTTGTATGATCAACGCAAATTCCGCTGTACGCTGTGTTGAGTTCGGACTGTACAAACACAGAAAGGTTTTAAGGGTACCGTTGTAAATCAGTCATTCCATGGAGGGTTACTTGAAATTAGGCTAACAGTCCATTTTAAAATTTAAAAAAATCATGCCACCTGACATGATGATTCCGAGTTGTCGCTAACATTGACAATATCAATTTTTTCAAGTTTTATTTAAAAATTTAAGTTTCATTTTAAGACCAAACAACCAAAAATGCCAAGTAGTCCATAATCAGTGTGATCCTTTGTGCAGTAAAACCGTACACGGCTCACACGGCACAATTAGTCCATAATCAGTGTGATCCTTTGTGCAGTAAAACCGTACACGGCTCACACGGCACAATTAGTCCATAATCAGTGTGATCCTTTGTGCAGTAAAACCGTACACGGCTCACACGGCACAATTAGTCCATAATCAGTGTGATCCTTTGTGCAGTAAAACCGTACACGGCTCACACGGCACAATTTCCTTATTTCATGTTCATTGGACTATTACGAATAACTTTAGTCTAACTGTCGCCTTTTTATTCCGTAGTTTTTTTTGGGTCTCACTGTATAAATTGATAATTGATTGATACGTTACCAAAACCATGTTGTCTTCGAATATTTCTATATATGTTACAGAAAATAGGATTTTATAGGTTTAATGATATTTGAAATTTTGGGCAAAAAGAAAATTGATATTCCTTCACTATATATCCAACCTCCCACAGCATCCACCTGAAAAATTTAATATTTGTTTATATTATAAAATTATCAGTAGTAATTTATTATTATTATTATTATTATTAATATTGATCTTGATATCCACCGAGACAACTTTTGAATTAAGAGATGCATTTCTGATTCCTTTATTTTATTAATCCATGCAAGATGCGATCACAACGGAATATCAAAAAGGATTTGAATTATTTCGAGGTTCTGTACAAGATGGAATGGCATGCTTGGTCCCAATATTTACAAAAGTTCTCAGCAATCCGTTTATTAACGGTTAATTTTCTATAAATAAAAGTTCCGTTTAACCCTTAAATTCCAAAAAATACAGTTCTTCAATTTGATAAAAATGAAGGATATATTTTACTTGATATTCTAAATTAACGGTCTTTTCCGTTCAAAACGGAGTTTGAAATAATTTTCAAAAATGTCATGTTTGTTACTTTAGTTAGAACTGATTTCATCAGTATTTTAAAAATCAGGAATTATTAATGAAAATGAGTCTTTGTACACTGAACAATAGCTGTTTATGTTTGGATTTTCATACTTATACATTGTAAGTTTAAAAGTCGTAATCCTAATCCAAAGTTTTATGACTTTATTAATTATAACTTCAAACCTTTGATTGTGGTAAAGAACAGGAACACTGAAAATAAATATATCTATAAATATAAAGTTGTAATCTCTGTTTGTTTGTTTGTGTGTTCGATCATACCTTAGGAACCCCTTCACCGATTTGTCTCAAATATTGATTTGGAATTCGTAAGTCAATTTCATTGTATTGATATACACGACAAGGACTGTCTGTAATATGTTAAATACATTTTTTCTAAATTTACAAATTGGATTATATTAATATTTATTAAATTGTGGAAAAACTTTCAATAACTATAAAAAATCAACTTTTCAGAAACATTCATTTTTTAAAGAGACTGAAAGTGTAATTTCAACTGACCCTCCAAGCGAAGATTGCAACGCATCTTTTAGAATGTTAACATTAAAAGCTTTGTCTGATCAATTAGATATCATAAGATAACATCAATTAGATATCAATGATTATAATTTTAAAAAAAAATGTTTTCAATTGTGGTTTGCGCAATATCTTCCACATTATGGATCAAATAAAGGTTTCAAGGGAATATGCCAATGCATTGTGTATCGGCATCAGGGAGTATGGAATAGAAGAGAGATACAACTGAAGCGGCCGCCCTACCATATGATTATACATGGTTTGCAGACGGTACTCCATTTGTATAAGAAATATTCAGAATAGGTTATTGTATACGGGGTAATTGTACATTAGACAAATATTTCTTATTTAAATGAAGTACCGTCTGCAAAGCATGTATAATCATTCATATGGTAGGGCGGGCCGCATCAGTTGTATCTCCATTGATCGGCATCTTTGCATGGAGGGTCAATTGAAATCCCGCTTAAGTCCTTTTAAGTAAAAAATTATGTAACCAACAATTGACAATAAGCCCCCTGCAGACCATCTGACACGGCACAGTACCGGATCGAATTTAAGCAGCTAGAGCTAGCAGTACAGTACACAAACAGGCTATAAAAGCTTAAACGGAACAGTACACCAATTGAATCAGTCCTATCTAGGGAGATTCTAGTGACAATGAAATCATTAAACATGCAGAGACGATCAGATCTATTGATAATATAATCAAATGTAGAAAAAAAAATATTTTTTACCTTGTCATTTTAATCTTGTCCATTTTCACTATGTCCTTTTTTACCTTGTTTTTTTTTAACCTTGTCCTTTTTACCTTGTACTTTTTAACCTTGTCATATTTTACCTTGTCATATTTTACCTTGTCCTATTTCACTTTGTTCTTTTTCACTATGTCCTTTTTACCTTGTCCTTTTTACCTTGTCCTTTTTACTTTGTCCTTTTTCACTTTGATCTTTTTTACCTTGTACTTTTTAACCTTGTCATATTTTACCTTGTCATATTTTACCTTGTCCTATTTCACTTTGTCCTTTTTCACTATGTCCTTTTTACCTTGTCCCTTATTACCTTGTCCATTTTCACTTTGTCCTTTTTTACCTTGTCGTTTTTTATCTTGTCCTATTTTACCTTATCCTTTTTACCTTGTCCTTTTTACCTTGTCCTTTTTCACTATGATCTTTTCTACCTTGTCCTTTTTTACCTTGTCCTTTTTTTCTTGTCCTTTTTTACCTTGTCCTTTTTTACCTTGTCCTTTTTTACCTTGTCCTTTTTACTTTGTCCTTTTTCCCTTGTCCTTTTTTACTTTGTACTTTTTTTACCTTGTTCTTTTCCACTATGTCAAGTATAAATATTCTTTTTTTTAAATTGCTTGATATCCAATAAAACAAAACTTATTTTTATTGTAAATGTGGACTTAAAGTGCATTGAAGGATAATAGAATTTCAACCTTTTTTAGAGATATTGTAATGATAAAAGTTAAAAAATTTTAATGCTAAAAATAAAGAATGCTAATTCACCTTATCCTCTGTAAGACTCAGACTTCCACTGTTAGCGTTCGGAAACCCTTTCTCTACCAAAATCTAAAAAACATTTTAATAAATAAAAACGTGAAACATTACAACTGACTTTACTAAACAAAACACTGCCCCCCCCCCCCCCGCCTCTACGGTAAACTAGAGTTCTGAAGTAAGTCCGAACTCTAGAATCCAATTTTCCCCATTAAATGTAGATTTTTTGTATTCGCTATTTTATACATTTTTGTCTGGCTATTTATCAGTATATAATGTCACAAGGTGACGGATTTAGAATGATCGAGCACATAATATGACTTTTCTAATTGTAATGTAACTTTACACAATACTAGCTAAATACATTTTCAAAGGAGTTGAATCTTTGCCACAAACTCAGATATTTAAGCCACCAAATCTTTAGAACCCGTTGTTGTAAACCTTTGATATGTCAAACTCAGATTATTTGATCTAACAGAATTCATAGTTTGAAATATCCAAGGTCTATGACATTTGGTTCCAAAGAAGAAGAGATTAGCAAATCAGGGTTTGTGGCAAAGACTCATTTCCTTTGCACAAATATTTGTAGCACTATATTGTGAAAAATCTCAAAGACATGTCTAAAAAAAGTGTGCAAAACGTCTAGTTTGAGATTGAAAACTATGATCAAAATATAGCCATATCCTTCTCTTGAAACATTTTTGACAATAAATACACTTTTAGATAATTAAAATTAAACATTTAAAGTAAAGCTCATTGAACACATTCTGCTGATAACTAAATGGTTTAAATTTAAGTATACATTTTACATTTTATGGTTCGAACAACTAAGCATAAATTTATAGCCTTATAGTTAGAAATTCTAACCTTATGTTAGTCGGGGGTTTAAATTTCCATTGATTCTAATTTGTAAGAGAGTAAATGACATTCCTTTTTGAAGAGGGGATTCAATGATAAACCCGAGGGCCAGCGGATTTCGCGGATTTTTTTTTTTGCCTTTGTAGATTTTCGAAGTATCCCGGCGGGATTAAATGAAAATTGTTGCATACCAAAAAACCAGCTTTTTAAAAAGGAATATATAAACCTAAATATTAGAATAGTTTAAATAACTAAGCATAAAATGAATAAACCTTAATGTTAGAATAGTTTAAATAACTAAGCAAAAAATGTATAAACCTTAATGTTAGAATAGTTAAAATATATAAGCAAAAAATGTATAAAACTTAATATTAGAATAGTTTAANTAGAATATTTAGAATATAAAAGCATAAATGTATAAACCTTAATGTTAGAATAGTTTGAATAACTAAGCATAAATGTATAAACCTTCATGTTAGAATAGTTTGAATAACTAAGCATAAATGTATAAACCTTAATGTTAGAATAGTTTGAATAACTGAGCATAAATGTTAAAAGTAACAAGAAACCACCAACTGCATACCCACTAAAAAGAACTGGTTTCGTCATTTTAAAATGCATCTAAAAAAAGCATAATTAAAACTTTTTCCTTCCTGTTTGTGGCATGAACTCAGTTCCTTCACTTTGAAACGATCTAGAAATTGATAAATCAAAGAAAAAAAAAAGGTTTTCCAAAAAGTCTCATTGAATTCCGAAAAATCCGAAGACTTATCCTTTCTAGGTGACCCTAGCTTTTTAATGCATATCATGCATGATACCTTTGATTGATCTATGTTTGCAAGTCAATTTTTTTTCATTTTGACAATGTGAATGCTTTACCCATGCAGTAGTAAAGCATTTAAAGTGTCATTAGAAAACATCAAAAACAACAATTGGACGCATGTAATTTAATTTGATGCATTACTCACTTAGTTTTCTTTAGAATTTGGCTAGTTATGTCAAATAATTAATTTCTGAGCTAACTGAATTTGGAAAGCGTTGCTTTTTCCCATGTGTTCAGTAAAGTATTAGACCTTATATATTTCCTTATCAGACACTGATAAGGAAATCCTTCATTTTTTATAATCCGAAACCGATCTTTATCTTTTGACACATTCATTCCTGTTTCGAGGATTTTCGATAATGAAAACGACATCATATTTTCCAGGAATGTTCGAAAAACCAGACCCATCGTGAAAACAAGTTGGGTTTCCATTGCAAGTAGATTGTGCGAAAGTGAAATAAATTGCGCGCAATGCCAACTTTCTTGTTTTTTTTTGTTTACATTTTTTGATAATATTTAATTTAAACCTTATGGCACGCAATAAATGCAATTCATTATTGCATAATTCCGTTCAACAGCAAAAAAATCCAATTTAAACTTTGGTAGTGGCATACAAAAAAACTGTACTTCACTAACATTTCACTCTCAAATTCTAAGAAAATTGAATTTAAACTTAATCTTGTTGTTAAAATATTCATATGCAGCATGATAACCAGAAATATGTGGCATAGGAAGACGACATTTTAAACTCAAGGAGACCCATTTAACTGAGTAAAAGATTTAATAAGTTACTAAACAAATTTTTTTGCTTGTTAACCATTACAAATGCACTGTAATTTAGTCTTTCTTAGTTTTCTGCTTTTTACTGTAGCAAAATATCTAATTTTGATAAAACGAACGTTACAAATAGTTTTAAACAAAAAAATTTCCATTTATTGTTCTTCCAATGTAAACAAATAAAAATTTATCATATTAAATCGTTAATTAGTAGCTTAACGAGCTTAACAAATAGAAACTTTAAAATTTGAAAACTGTTGAAATAAGTGATTTTTTAAAATCTACATAAATATTTCCATTCTTGTATCTGCTGCATATATTTGTAAGTCACAGTTAATATTATTGTCTTTTAGATAAAAAGCAATTCCGTTACATGCAATTCGGATTGGAAATTTTAAAAAAAATCAAAAATATTATGAAATATCAGTTTTGAACAAAAATCATAAATACTCTTGAAAGTCGTCTTTATTAAAAATTTCCAAATTTCGAAACCCAAATTCTCAAGAACTAAGTCAAAACCCATATCCCACACCCAGTCAACTTGCAAATTAAAATTCAGAATCCCTGTTGAAGTGATATAAATTAAAATCCTAAAACATCCTTTTATTTAACCCAGCAATTACTTTCAGAAGACAATTGTGTTTTAGTCACCAACCTATCACTCCTCTTTTTAGTCACCAGCCTACCACTCCTCTTTTTAGTCACCAACCTACCACTCCTCTTTTTGTGTGTACAAGACTAAATAGTAAGTTTATTTCTCTATGGACGACAAAATTATAATCTCGTTATCAAAACAATATTATAAATAACGTTACAATAGTCCATTAATTTATCAGTTTATAAATATATACCCCGCTAAAACAGAAACTTTGAAACTGTGTCATTTCATTATTTGTATTTTCTTAAGTTCACTCGTCTGTCATTTTTTAAAATACATTTCGATAACATTTTAAACATTGTAATTACATCATTTATGTTTTCAAGGTTTGAAATGCAGTTTTTTTTTGCAACTATTGTCGATTCATCAAGAAGAGAGAGATCAGTCACCTTTGTTAAATCCTAACAAGGGCCAGTCAAGTCCTGAGAATATGTCAACATCGAAAAAAATCAATGATTTTAGGTTGTAATATCTGAATGATTTTTTTGGAATTACATTCATTTTTTACGATCCCAGTCGAATATTGCAACTTTCTGAACTTGTATGAACGATACGTTCTTCGATTTGAGTCGTTAACAATTTTCTCTTTAAATAGACGCAACAGTATAGAAGTAAGATTAGTAGCAATCACCATCAAATATTGTTTTCTACGTAAGCTTATATTTTTCGCTGACACTCCCTATAACAGAATTTTCAGAAGAAAAAAAACACAATTGTTTTTTAAGAAAATTAATCCACCTTTTAAAAAGGGGGGGGTCTAAGTCTGAATAATATAGGATATTATAGTACCGAGCGGAACATAGTGAGTGAAGGGGGTGCAGGGGGGCGTAGCCCCACGCAAATTTTTTCAAAGAAATAAGCATTAAAAGTGAGTATTTCAAGTGCTCAAAACAGAAAATCACTCTTATAGTATGCAAAAATATTTCTACCTTAGAGCTGCACTTACAATTTTTTTACTCAGATATATTACTCTATAAAAAATATATTTCCATTTCCATTGGCATTACATAATTTCTAATTACAATTTTACTTATTGTTTAAAATTAAGATATTAACTGCAAGGTTCAGGGTGTTTTTTCATGTTTCTAATTAAGTTACAAGTTACTCCAAAGGATGCGATTTCAAGATTGTAGAGTTTAAATCTGTTCTTTACTCATATTCTTTGTGGTTAACCCTGTAGGTTTAAATCTAGCGATGGGCAATTGTTAGATTCTTTTTACAGAAATTTTAATGCTTTTCGACTTTTAAAGATTTACGGGTTCAACGGTTTGAAATTGTCTTCTGTAGAAGTTTACTATTATCAAACATGCAAATTTGCTATCCTAGGTGAAAACATAAGGCAAAAATTACCTAAAATGATCGTTTTAAAAACCCAAAACTATCATTTTTGCCTTATATTTTCTTCGATTTGCATGTCTGGTAAACTTCTCCAGAATAAAGTTTTAAAATGTTGGAACCTTCTCATATTGTCGTAATACCTTTTAAAAGTCTAAAAACATTAAAAGTTTTTGTAAAATGAATCTGGATATTGCCCATCCCTATTAAAATTTAAAAAAAATTATTTATATGTAAACTACTAAACATGAGGATTAAGTAAAGTTCGCAAAGTTGTATAAAGATATAAGATCTAATCTTCCAGAATAAAGAAAGCCTGTCAACTTTGTTTTGCATTTTATAATTATTTTTTTGTTAAAAAATGAAGAAAAACCCTGAACTTATTGAATATATTTAATAAAATTGTACGGGTATTTTTGTCTATAAAAGCTTTTAACACTTTTGTGGGTTTTACGGTTTCTAAGATGTCTATATGAATGTTCATTAAGGCCAGACCATTAAATCTGTCATCGTTCATGCTAGCTTTTTGTTAAAGCATATCAAAGTATCTGCTGGAAAAAAGTTACAGTAAACTTTTAGGTTTGCCTCCAGAAAAGGGGGGGGGGCGGTCAAAAGATACTCTTGACCCCCCTTTTTTACAAAAGGGGGGGTCGTCGACCCCTTGACTCCCCCCTGGATCCGCGACTGGCTCCCTAATCTAATTCCATTGCTGAAATTGTCACATAGCTATTTACCTTAAATCGCAAGTTGATTGACTCTCAGTCACTTAACGAAACTAAGTCGCCGTTATTTTTAATTCTCATCCGTTCGTTCTTTATATTATGAGCGATTATTTTTGTTTGTTTGATCTTAAAATTGACTATTTTTGCCGTTTTCGTTAATGGAATCTTCCGTTATTTTTCAAAAAACTGTTTGACCTAATTGGGATCTAAAAGTAAATATAAACTAAAAAATTCTTTCTTTTTTCCAAATTAAGTTTTTTAAGTGTTTCTAAAATTGGATCGACAAAGCCGGGCACTTCAGCTAGTAAGACATAAATATGAAGCTTGTCATGATTATAATATGACTTGTGTGTTGAGAGAGTGTAGAAAATGCTGTACTAATATTTCAGAAGGAAAATATAATTGTGAAGCTGAATTAAAACTGTTCTTCAAGATACGAGGTGCGTCCAATAAGTTTTGCGAAAATATTTTTAGAGGTACTTCTAGATGTCTCAGCCCTTCCATTTTTAAAGTTCACTATATCTATACCGGATACTTTTTTGGCCAAGTTGGCCAAATTTAAAGTATGTTTACGGCCATGGGGAACTTTTTATTATAAAATCGTATTTTTTTACTTTTTAACCAACTCTTTTCTATAAAACTTTTGCCTTGGATCATTCTTTACTAAAAACGGAAATGGGAAGAAAACGTTCTTGACCAAGAGGGATGGAACCGTTCTTCAACCAAGAACGCCAAGAACGGACCGAAATGGGATGACCGTTCTTCTACCCAGAACGGAACGGAACGGAATGAGAATGGAACGATCTTATAGCTGAAGGCCCTCGTTCTAGAACGGAACGAAATAATTTTTAAAAGTTGGAACGTGCCCAGCCCTAGGCTCGGTTTCCCATAAAGGTTTCATTAGACGTTGCAAAAACCAAGCAGAACCCTAAAACATGATCCAGAACACATTTTAAAACGATTCTATTAAATTTAACTAGGTTGAGAAGGAAAAAATGAATGTTTGAAGGATTATGACATGTCCGGGTGGGAAAAGACCATCAAGACCCCAAAAATGGTCGAAAATTTGAATATTGTTCAAACCATATTATCAAAGGTTCAGGAAGTATGTTTCCCAGACAGCTTGATGTATACTTTTACATTGTAAACAAAGTTGTAAAAGCAAGATTTAAAAATGACGAATTTCAAATTTGTCCCAAAGTCTCTGACATAGGACCAAAGGGATTACTTTGATCTCAACGTAAATCAAAACCAGAAAAATCCTCAAAATCCATGAATCAAGTTTGATACTATTGTGACATTTTTTTTGCTGTGACGAACTTTTGGGAGAACGCTCCTTACATTACACCAAAGATATGATTGACATCAACTGATCTGAAAAATGTATCCGGTATAGATCTTGAACTTTTGAAAAAATTACAGGGCTGAGGCATCTAGAAGTACCTCTATAAAAAAAATCGCAAAACTTATTGAACGCTTCTCGTATCTTTGGAAAAGGCTTAAAAAAAAACATTTTTATCACTTAGTTAGACCATTTAAAACTATGCGTGGGAAATGATTTTTTGAATCCCTATATCTTTGCGACCAAAGGGTGTAAATCTTTGATATTTCAAACTTAAATTACTTTATCTAACGGAATTCAGAGTTTTAAATAACTAAGGTCTACGACATTAAATTGAAAAGTTATGGGGATTAGAAAATTAGCGTTTGTGGCAAAGAATCAATTCCTTTCTATAAATCTTTATTTTGATATTCATTTTTTAAAGGGATTGTATGATTGTGTAATTATATTGTGTGAATCATTGATTTAAAAAATCCAATAACTTTATGGGTTATTTTTACCGCATTCAAAAAATGTTTTGTTAAAGTATTTTTTCCATGCTCTTTTTAACTATTGTTACAAATTCAATTATCTTTGCAATTATTGTTGAAAAAATAGGATATCTCATGTTCAGCATTGATCTGGCAAAGGTTGGAAGGGTACCACTAATACATCCAATTAAATGTATCAGTCCAAGGGTTTATCATTGAATCCCCCGGGGGTTTAATTTTCCATTCATTCTATTTTGTCTCAGAATAGATGAAATTCCTTTGTAAAAAAAAAAAATTATTATTTATTATTATTTTTAAAGGGGTGGGATTAAATGAAAATTATTGCATACCTTAAAACCAGCTTATAAAGGAATATTGATTTTATCAACAAAAGGTTTTGTAAGGATATATCATTTAATATAGATTCTAGATCATTTATAAAATCTCCTTTGATAATTTTAGATTTATATTACCTTATTTCTTTCAATTGATTTTTTTAACATTTTGTACATGGGTTACCCACAACAGATGAGACTTCAGAGATGACGGAATTTACAATCTACAATTTTTACAATTTACAATTTTTACAATCAGGACTCCTTGCACGACAAAATTGACATATATAGGTGCTTAATCGTTATAATACAAAATTGAAGACAGAAGCTAAAATCAAGTGTCGTATTTAAGCGTTATGGGTCGTCTTTACAATCTCATCCGTTGTGTTTTATAACCTTGTACAGAGCATGACAAATAAAAAAATAATAGAAAGAAGACGAAAGATTATTTGTTCTTTTTATCCCCATCATCATTTAATTTTAGGATAATTTTCCATCGGATCAGGGGCAGGGCGGGTCATGCAATAAATTTTAGTTATTTAGTGAAATTTTAAAAACTCATACACCTATTTTCAAGCCTAAACCAGGTTTTTACACCAACTGCATCATTGCATCATATCAGCATGAGACCTAGGGTTTCCAGCGGAAGCAAACTTTCGCGCAAATTTTCTTGCGTATTCCGCAAACTTTTGAGCGGAATTTCGAATTTTTGAGCGAAAATGAATTTGAGGAAAACAACGCAAACTATGCACAATTCTACGCAAAAAAATCCGCGTAAAAAAATTTTCGCAAAAAACTAGAGTTTCAGCTGCAACAAAATTTTGAAAAAAAGCTCACTACGTGGAAATCTCTGCCTATAATAGTTATCATTCGGCAATAGAAGTTTTATTAAATTATATATTATCTGAATAAAAATGTCGAATTTTTTGCTAACATATATATATGAGCAAATTGAGCTTCATTACATAGATTGATAATTTCTTGTATGATCCATGCCATGCCACGCTAACCTTTTTGATCGAAAATTGTCTCAATTTCGGCAATTGTTTTGTACTTTTTTGGTGTGCAATATTCGTGTATTAATTCGCGGAATTCCGCGGAAAATGCAGCGGAATTGTTCATTCCACTGGAATGCCATCTAAATCTCTGTTTAAGCCAAATTTGTTGTTGTATTTTTCTCAAAGCTTTCATAACCGCTAATGTTACATCGTCTATACGCAACATCCCCCCTACTGAACTTCTGACCTAATAACTTTCCGACCTACTGCAATATCGGACCTACGCTGTTTATTTTAGTATTATATGAGGGTTAGGTTAGGTAAAGACAAATTCTGGGCCGACCGAGCGCTGCGCGGCTAAGACAGGCTAGGGGGCCGAACGCCGCGGCTAGGACAGGCTAGGGGCCGGGCGCTGCGGCCACAAGTCCATATAGCAGCTGTAATACCACGTGCTAGTAGGTCGGATGTGTAGTATAGCAGATTTGGCGTAGGTCAGAAGTGGAGTATGGCGGATATGTGTAGGTCGAAAAATACACCACCTTCATAACCATCGTAGGCAAAAAAATTCAGATTGAAATTTTCCAAATAATTTTTCATAATTTTTATATTTTTTTCGGTGTATACTTGTCTGACAAGTTGTCAGTACGTTATTTATAGATTAAACATGAAGAAAGTACACATTTTGCATATTATTTGGTTGATGACTCGACTGGTCAAATGTTTAACATAAAAATTCTGGTTTCCTTGGCATGGTCTGCAGAGAAAGCGCTGGTAAACGGTGGGAATCACTATGTCGACTATGAATATATAATAATGAAAGGTGTCCCAAAAAAATAAAGAGACAAATTTGAAATCGTCTTTTTTAACAAATAAGCTTTGTATTATCAAATTTCAATGGTCAAAATAAAGTTACGTCCTCTAGAGGATGTATTTATAGGCATTAAGGGCGCTTCGCGCCCATCACCTATTTCTATATATAATTGTGGCTCTATCTGTGAACATGTTCTCTAGCTCTATGTACAATAAAAAAACAATAGCAAAATATTTCGAGGATTTTTTGTGGATTTCAAAATTTTACCAAAATAAAATATTTTGGAGACAAATTTTGTAATTCTGAACATCCAGAACATTCCTAGGGTCATGTGAGTTGCCGCAAAAAAATTTGAACCGATCGATTCAGCCGTTTTGACGCTTGCTGGATACCAACAAACAAATATACAGACAGACACCAGGAAACACAGTCAGGTTTGCATGTAACCAGGCAGAGAAGCAAAGTATTTATAAAGATATAAAACGTTAAAGACTTTTTCTGCAAAATATTTTATAATATTTTGTAATAAACATGTTAAAAAATAACGTTGTTAAATCTTCCTCATATCATTATGTTCAAAATAAAATTACGTCCTTGGCCAGGGGCGGATATAAGGATTCTGTAGGGGGGGGTAAATATTTTTAATTTGGCGCGCGAAGCGCGCCGAATTTTTTTT